AAAGTGGGTAGAAACAGGGAGGGAGAGGAAATATTTTTGACAGTTAAAAGCAAAGAACAAAAGAAAATTTTGGAAAAGCATCAAAATGTTGCGCGATTTTGGTTGCGAGTTTTCAGAAATACAGTATAAATATGCTTGAGTATTGTAATGATTTTTTCCGAAAGCGAAAAATATTAAAAAGAGCTATTTTTTGGAAATTTTTCCATTGTTATTTTCTTTTTTGGCCGGGGGGTCTAACTTACTAAGAAGATAGACATCATTTTCTTTTCTTTTTATTTTAATTTTTAAAATGAAAAAATAAAATTTTTATGTTGTAGTTTTTTTTTTTCAAAACATAGGAGATCTAGATTACCCTCATATGGATGTGCACATTGTGGATTTTCATTTCGGATGTGTATATTCTTGTCTACAGTCATAGTTTAATAGCTTATAAACAGTTTGTAACTTCATAAATCTCAACGAAATTTCTGCTTTTGACGTCTGGAAAACTAGAATTTTGCTTTGAAATGGATATTTATCATTACAAAAAATTTAATTTCTTTTACAATTAGCAGAGATTTACTTTCTGTTTCAAACAGAAACAAATATTTTAAGTATGCAGGTTAGTATCCTTTACAACAGTGATTTTTAGTCGTTTTGAAAGCAGAAACAGTAAAATGAATATCGGTAATCCAGCGATAGGATAAATTAAATTATGAGTTATAATTAACTTCATAAACACTCTCAGAGATGTGAAATCTATGTTTGGTACAAAGAAATGGCTAAACCATATATGGCCATATTTTGTCAATGTCAAATTTAAGAAGGAGGAATTTTGGACAAATAATGAAATATAACTTTTAAACCGTTCTCCCAGTTTCTGTACTTATATTTGAGAGCGTTTAATAGTCGTTATGAAAAAATAAAATTATGAGAAGTTTGACTGTCGTACGACAAAAATGGACCATGTTATTTAATTTCAAATTTTGCAATTTTGGATGTCATTTTCAACTTGCCATGAGGGATTGGTAAATAAAGTGTGAATAATTTGAGGAAATAAGTTTGCGTAAAGTGCAGGAAAATATATATATAATTTAATAGGCTTAAAAAGAAGTGGTGGTGTCCACACCAGATATTTATTGAAGGATCGTAAGAGTATTTCAGTCGGAAAGAATCTCTAAGAAATTCGAAGCTTCTCTTAAGAAGTCTTACTTGAAGGCCTGCCTTGGCTTAGGCAGATAGCCCTTGTATATTTAACCGTAATCAAATGAAAATTCGAACTCCTTAAAAAGTATCCCAGTTAACTGTAAATAAATAAGCACAGTAGTTTGTTCCATAAAGTTTTCTTTTTAATGCGATAGAATAAATATATAAAAATTCTACGTCTCTCCTTGCTAGATTTTATGACATATTGAATGTGTCACGAGGCATCAATGGGAAATGGCAGAGGTTCCGAAACTGTAGTCCACGGATACCTAGGGGGTCTGCACGATTTAATTGTTAGCGATCCTCAAAGGATTTTTCGAACCTAAATTATGTTTATTGTCGAATTTTATAATGGAAAACTTAGCTTTAAGAATATCAGTTCTAGAACAGTTTCAAATGCCAAACATAAAGAATGTTTGAGAACAACTTATCAATCAGAGCCACAAGATTATTGAATGTCAGTAATTCTTTTTCTTTTTTTATTACAAAGAAATGGATTGGCTATGCAGACGTGCTTTATTGTTTTTTTCATTTACAATTTGATTATTCGGTTTTATCGTTCAGAAAATCCACTAAAAAAGTGCTTTTCATTAAATTCATTTCAAAGATGTACTTTTTTCTTAGTTACAGAGAATTATTTAAATTTAAATCGATGAAACTACTACGAAACTTTAGCATCTTGAAGAAAGTTGGAGCCACAACTGCTAAGAAGATAATATGCTTCAAATAAAAACAAAAAGGAAACATTTCAAGTAAAACATAAAATTAGTACACAACAACCTTGATTTCCTCACAATAACCTCAATCGATTGGCCTGGAAATCGATTGAGATATTGATGTAAATGTACGCCAAACTAAAAGTTGTGTTACTAATTTTATGCTTCAAATAATTTAAAACTTAAATGAAATTTAAGAATTTTATATCTTCAAGTAATTTTATACTTAACATACAAAAATTGCAAAATTTATTTTTTAACAACTTTAAATTTTCACAGTTTACCCAAGCTCAGAATTTTGGCAAACTGAATAAGTTAAAAAATTCTACATCGATTTTGGCCTTAGTCGGTGAGTTTTTGCGACTCCTTGTATTCTATAATTTAGTTTTAGATTGAAAATTTAGTGTCTTGATTTAGTGTCTTGATATTACTAATTATGCCACCCAACATATGTTTCTATTATGCATTCTTACAATTTGCATTTGTTAATAAGAAAACTACTTCACAAATTCATATCAATCTCGTTATAACATAAACTTGCCAGTAAGACTTTTATGGCTGAAATATTATTTTTTCTTACAATACATGTAGATTCAACTAGTGTTAGTTGAAGTCGAAATTTCAATTAGCTTTTTCGAACTCAAATTTTGACTGCGATTCAAAGCCAGAATTTCGATATTCTGGGCAAGCGCGCTGCTATTGGCTTTTTGATAATACTAGTATAAAAAACATTATTCAAGTGTGTATTGCATCTTTGACTTCGGAAGTGATCCGAAAAGCTTCTACAATTTAATCCTTTTGCAACAAGTTACAAGCTTTGAACATACGGTGAGGGCCGCTAAATTGTAATCACGTTTGTCCACGATTATTTTGATAACATTAACCGAATGATAACCTTAAATGGTGAGGAAAAATACCCTTCAAAATAACTAATTTGTTATAAATATAATTAGAAACATATAAACAGATACACTTTTACAGCTTTGAATTAAGAGAGTGCAAAAGCTTTTTCATGAACTCTTCGGAATGTCTTTAATGCAAAAATTCATTTATGGGCTGTTCATAACGTTTCAAGAAATTTTCTCATTGAAAAAAAAACAAGCCATTGCAACCTCAGTTATAAAAAAAGCAACCTCAGTTTGATAGGGATGTTTCAGGGAAATTTTTTTTTTTTTTTTTTTTTTTTTTTTTTTTTTTGCACCTGACAAAGAGAGACCTGTGTCTGATCGCCCTCAAAATCGAAAGTGTTATTGAAAATCGATGTCAAAGGGTTTTTTTTCCCGCCTTATTGCAAATGGTTGACTAAAATCGAAAGCAATCTGTTTGGGCGAGTTAATTCCGTAGCTGGCGATATTTTTCTGTCATTTGTTAGTTTTTATGATCTGTTTTGAACTTGGCTATTTTATCTTTTCGTTATTGATTTTACGTAACTTTAAAAAAATTATAATATATTGACCACTTTGATAGAATAGTTGATCAAAATAATTGATGTATTTCACATGTTTCCCGTATACAAACGGACGGGACTTCGGCAATTTGATATGAATATTCTATTGATAACATTAACTGCGATTACATTAAGCAGCGTATACTGTAATATATTTCCTAAGATATACTCTTCATTTAATTTCTGATCTTCACAATTTTTGATTAAAGTGGTATATAGAAACCTTCTTCGTGTCTATTCTACTTCCTGTGCGAAGTAAAGGAAATAGCGGAATCGCGATTTTGATCGTTCCCGAATCAATTTTGAATATTTTTGTGTATATTTTTTATGTGTACGTACGGACAGAATAAAAAAAACTAAAAACGATCAGCCGTAGAGCTTTGAAATTTAGTATATGGGACTTCTTTTTCATCTAGTTGTGCACCTCCAATTTTTTTTTCAAACAGCAGTAACCCAAAGTACACATATATGTATGTGTGTCTGTGTGTGCGTAAAATAAAAATATGTAACGTAAAATCATACTTTAAATTAGCAGCAGTCCTTTAATTTTTCTTTTTAATTTCAAAACGCGCCATATCTGGAAATTAATTCTGTAACCATTCGCATGACCAATCATTCCTCGGCCAACGAGATTAAAGCAAAACTTCTAATATAAATTAAGTACGTAGTGAATTTCTGCTGACAACTTGTCGCTTATCCTAGGTATTCTCCATTATCTAAGATTTAATGGCATACCTAAAATTGTGAGGCGCGTTAGCACCATTAGTCTTTTACCAGTTATTAAAATATATGCTAAAAAATTCGTCTTCCAAATATAAATGATGTTTAGCTACCAAGTTGGGTCGTGCTTCTTCCAAAATTCCACGCGGTTTATCCACTACGCCGCAATTTCCAATCATCTAAGCAGCAGTTTTTTCGGCCGTGACTAAAAAAAGCTAATGGTTTTTATCCTCCGCCAAAATTACAATATTACACACAAACACATATTGATTATTATTTAGTAAATAATAGTTAATAAAATTGAATAACTTGATTTCGCACAAAGTAAATTTAAGATCATATATATATATATATATATATATATATATATATATATATATATATATATATATATATAATAAACCGGTTATTACCCGGTTTAAAAGTCCTTACCTGTCTTTATTATCATAATCGTTGATAGCAGTAATACACTTCCAATTACAGAGGTGTTTTAATTGGCGAATATATTCAATTTCCAATTTATTTCAAATTAAAAAGATTTTTTTTAAAATTAAATAACGAAATTTAACTTTTAATGCGGTTTTGTATCTGTTGTTATGGTTCTTATACTTGGGAAAATTCTATACTCCTTATGAAAAAAATAAAGTTATAAGAAGTGTTACTCCCGTACGACACAAATTGACCGGGATATTTAATTTCAAAATTTGCAGTTTTGGATGTCATTTTCAACTTGCCTTAAGAAATCGGTTAATTAAATTAGAATAATTCAAGGAAATACGTTTAAACGAAGTGCAGCAAAAAGTGCGTGCAATTTAATAGGGCATGAAAGGAAGTCATGTCATGTAATTCCACGTCAGATTTTTTAAACAGAAAATAATGACATTTTATACAGTATATTAACTTATTTACTGAGAAGCACACTAATTGCTTACCTCTTCGCATGTAGAACGACATGAACCTGTTGTCATCATGCAGCACGTAGAAGTTAGGCCTCGAACTGAAAAAGAAAAAAAAAAAAGTTAGACAAAGACATTTGCCATTATAGATATCACTACTCACGATTTCAGTTTCTATTGGATAATTTAATTCAAGCAAAAATACATAAATGAAAGCGTAGAAAAATATGTGCAATTAACAGCGCAAAGAGGAAAAAACATAAGCTGAAAAATTATTTTAAATTAATAAAACATTTTTTTTTTAAATTTAGAAACCTATCAACTGGTTAAAAGTAAAACATGCAACATATTGACACTAATTCTTTTTTCCCTTTCATTACTTCCTTATACGAAGTAAAGGAAGTTTTAAAATCCCGAAAATTTTATAGTATCATATTTCAACGAAAATATCCATTTTGACTGCTCTCAAATCCATTCAGACGATTTTTTTGCGTGACATCTATACGTACGCACAAAATAAAGAACGATTTGGCCAAAACGGATGGAAAAATGGATTTAAAATGGATTCAGAAGGGAATTCTTTCGTGACCTTTGTACGTACATACGTATGTACGTCTACGTCCGACTGTCGTCTACTACTGTAAGCACGGTGTACGTCTACGTCAATGTGTTGGGGTAGTGTTTATTGTATTTTATTTATTTATTGTTTATTGTGTTGCGTTTTATAGAAATTTGAGGAGCGTAGCGGACTGTGTACCAATCTAATTTACTGTTTTAAGCAGCGTTAAGAGAATACAGAATTCAGAAGCACGCGATATGTGTATGGTTGATGTAATTGTTAATGGAATCTCAAGATTATTCTAGCATCTGTATATATTCATCCAACTATCAATTCAGGAGATTTGAAGATGTTCTTGCCTAGTGCATTGATGAAATATTCTGAGACTTTTTTATCGATCAATGAAGAGCTTACTATAGATACAGATGTTCCTATTATTATGATGGGAGCTTTCAATGTAAACTTCAAACGAAATAAAAAGACATTTGATTTTATGACACATCATTTTAATTCCATAATGGTGCCAAATTACTATCCAAAATACACTAGGCAATTTATTTAATTGCAGACATTTTAAATTACTTATCTTATTTCTCAGGTCATCGACCAGTTTTATGTACAGTCATTTTGAATTAGCAAATGTAAAAAAAAAAAATAAATAAAATAAAATATAAGTGTACGTGAAATCTTTTGTTTGTTTTATTTGTTCTATAACATTCTTCAACTTCCGTTAGTAATCTTACGCATTAAACACCAGAGGGTCTTTAAACTGAAAGAGAGGGCTTGCTTTCAATTTTTTTTTAATATTTCGCGTAAATCTACTTACTTAATTTTTAAATCTTCTTGTACAAAAATATTTAACTGTTTTTTGTTTTCCGTTATCAAATATTAAATGAACTAAAGCATGTTTCCAATACGTTAGAAGACGAAAAAGGCCGCACAAATGGGAGAGTGGTTAACGACGCTGCCTGTCGTATCGGAGGGTCCGAGTTCGAATCTCGGAGAAGGCATGAATGTTTGTAAATTTGTAAATGTATGGGGGAACTCTAAATATGCGGCGATCCTGATTTTTTTTTTTGAGAGGTTGAACTTAGGGGGAGTTAGGAAAGAGGGATCGGAGACCTTCGGACCCTTCCCCTAGGGGTGCTCTCGATCAAAATTGGAGGTGGAACTGAGCAAAGTTGTACTGGCACCTCAAGGCTCTTAACAAAGAAAGGCACAATCTTACAATCCTGACCTTGATGAATTTCGTGGGCTTGTTCTGATGGTACTGTCAAACTAGTGAGATAAGTCACAAAAACAACAGAGGGAAAAAGTCAACAATTTTGGTTCGAAAACAGCCTTTATTTTGAAATGTTTCTCTCAGTTGACTTTTAAATTCCAAAACTTAGCGTACACATGTCTTTTGAATAATATTTGTCCTTGAGCATCCTCCTTCAATACAATCAACTTTTCTTACATCATAATATCAAGATCAGATATATCGCAGTTCGTTGACTCTATAAGCCATGCTGGGGCATTCAAATTTTCAATGTCTTTTAGTAGTGAATATTAAAATAGCTTTTATATTTTCCAAGTGGCTTGTATACAATAATATATTTCCTGACGAAATTTTGCGTTCTTTGTACTTTCTAGGGAGGGGGGAAGGGAAGTGTATTCTTGTGTTTCTTTTTTGTTTTATATTGCGAGTATTGAATAAAAAATTAACATATTTAAAAATATATTATTATGTAATTTTTGTATATTTTTATGTAATTTCTTCCTTACTAAATGATATAACTTTATATCAATAAACGCGTAATTATCTAATAACTTTTTGTAACCGATGGTATCTGATGATGCCGATCAACGGACGGTACATCCCCAGTCGAGCCCATTATCATCATTGATCCCCTTTAAAATTTTATCAATCCCCAGGGTGTCAATTTGGACCTCGCTCGGAACACCTGCACTACATTATATTTCTATTCAGTAAATAATCATGAAATCCTCGGGTATTACGAAAACTCTTCACATTGTATAACTACCTTTAACTTAATTATTCATTCACACGAAGCTTATAAAGATGACTGCTGTATGAATGAACACGAAGCATACGAAGTGAACGGAAGCTTTCCTTTCTTCATATGTTTTTATTCTGAACAATAAGGAAAATGAAGTGCATTTTTTCTTTTCGATAATTTTGTGGACTGAGTGTAGTTCCTTCCTTTTAGTCAGCCAGGTTCAAAAGCTTCAGAAGATAGATTACTATAGTTACATATGATGGATTAGAGTCATCAGGGTCGAAATATTGTACGCATGTGACTGACTGGCTTTCTTCCTGTTGTCATACTTGTTGCTGAAAAAAACTTATATCTGATGGCTTCTGCTTATTCTATTTAGTAAAAGTCAAGAGTTTTCTTTCAACTGAAATTTCTGCTTTCATTTGCCGATTGCCATTTTTAAAAGAAACTGTCTAAACGTGTCGAGATAAACTCGTTGGAATTAATTCTCGCGGCTCTTTCGCAAGAATAAATACCATAATTTGTTTTCTTCTTGGCGGCAATATTCTTCATGCAAGAAGTGAGATGAATATTTTAAAATACTGATAACATTAAGTGGTTTTTGTGTATTTTAGAAAGCGATTTTTAGCTTTTTAAGTTTCGAGAATCATTTATTATTTTTAGCACCATTTGTTAAGAGGTTATTTATTCACTAGCTGAAACTTATAGCCATACCTTTAAGGATAATTTCTGTTTATCCGCTTCCTCCTTTTACAAAATGTCGCCAACTCACTGACGATTTTGTAAATTGGCGAAAAAGTTTTCTTCGGTTACAACGTTACAGAATATAAATTTTCATTTTCTTTATTGTTGGGAAAAGTAAATGTGCCCCATCAAAAGGGACGGATTTAATATACTCAGAAAAATACTTGATTATCAGAAAATGGAAAACGTTTTACATACGTACAACAAGTAAATGCACCGATTTAATAATGAAAAAGAATATTCTCCACTACTTGCTCTCCAGCAACGCATTCTTTCGATGAAATTCGTAGTCACTTTTTCATGTATCTGCCTATCAAGGATGGCTAGTGACACATTCAGTTTCTTCTTTAAGTTTTTTCGTTGTTAGCCATTCTACGTCCGGATATTTTGGGACTTGCAATGTGCACAATAACCATGTGTTCAGTAACCAGCTGGATTGAAAGAGTTCCTATCAACTAGTAAACTTCACAGTCCTGTTACAATTTGTTATGAGGAACAAGGAAGATGAAGTAAGACACAGATCAGCGATGTGAAAATTACATAAATCGTGCAAACCCACGTGCACTGAAACGGGTGTGTAGTACGCGGTCTGTTTGCTATAGCCGCTTGCATACTGAAAGTACCCCTAAAATACAACGTTTCTACAGAATGTTGAATTTGGGCGTGTGGATAATCAGAAAAGTTTCCCTTTAAGCTAACTAGAAATTATCAAATTTAGTAAACAAACGTTTTAAAACTCTATAAGGGTTATAGACGTAAAATTCCGTATAGAAAGGATGGCTTTGCTATTCATTACATATGAAAATTTCTGCCAGCTTCTAATGTATCCAGTTTCGTATTGGATACACATTGGAAGAAAAAGAGTCAAGGCACAAACTGACAGAGTCGTTTTGGAATTAAGTAAACACCATTTATTCATGACATTTTGAGGAATTTTGAAATTTCAGGGCCAAACCCGTAATGCTCGAAGGGCTAAAGTCATTTAGCTACGAGCTGAAAATCGAATGCAAAAATACTGGAAGAACTATGGCTAACGCATATAAATATAGTCCATGCAAGATATAATCATTTTGTTAGTTGTAAATTATGCATCTACTTTCAAAACTCTTACAATTTTTACTTTTTTACTTATTTTTCAACAGTTTAAAATTATTGCTTGTCAAACACAAACATAAGTTAGAAATAATTGTTCATTAATATTGCAACGGCCCTATTCTGCAGTACGGTTAGCAAAATAAGTGTCATTCTGTCTTGGCTCCAGTTTCAAGACCGTAACTGTTTAGGATTACCAGATATCTCGGATTGGTCCGGATATTTCTGGATTTTTTTTATGTCCGATTTTTACGTCCTGGGTGGGAAAAGTGCAAGATTTTTAAATGAGTGGTCATAGAAACTGGAGAAGAAAAAATTATTAGTTCATATAAGAAAAGTAGAAAGAATGCAACATTTTAGTACTTAATGGGATGCAGATATTTTAGGATAAAATTAGGTAATTTTTGATATATTAGCGCAATGGTCTAAATTTACATGCGGATCGAATGAATGAACTGAAAGCAGCTGACGGGCCAGATTTTCTTTCTTTTTTTAAATAAAATGCAAAATTTTTAATTGACAAGATAAAAAATACTAAACTAAATTTAAAATTTAGTTTACTAAATATTTGTCAACACATACATAAACAATAAAAATATCGCAAAGCAATAATTTCAAAATTATATTTATTTTCTATCTCAAATCTGAATTTTGGTATCTGTAAGATATTTTTATTAGTTACGTTTCGTGATTCAAGTACACT